GGTTAAGTTTCGGGTTAGATAATTCGAAGGGGAAAAAAAAATAAAGGCATTGTGAGAACTTAGATGGCAAGTATACCAAAAATACCATAACAGTTACGTGAGAATAGCTCTGGCCCCGTTTGGCAAAGGGTTAAGTAAAAGGGGTTAAAGAGATGGATTAATGTACTTAGCATATTCAATAATCTGAAGTACTAAATTATTAACTCATTAAATAAGTTTTATTTTAGCCATTGTGATCAGTTTTAGTATTTGGGAATAACAATGATTTTGACTATTTTATTTATAGTTAGAAATGTTAACTCTTAATCCTTCTAAATAGGAGTATTAGTAAACCTCTTATTTTGAGGGGTTAACTCATTTTAATGGAGTATTAGTAAACCTCTTATTTTGAGGGGTTAACTCATTTTAATCCCTCTAGAGGGGTTAGCTTAACTCTTCTATATTTTTTATGTTAATCCCTCTAGAGGGGTTAGCTTAACTCTTCTATATTTTTTATGTTTGGCAAATTATGGAGGGTTAACCCACTTTAACCTTTGTATAAATTTTTTGTATTTGGTGGGTTAAGAAGGAGTTAAATCTCCTTAACCCCTCACTTAACCATTTGACGAACGGTACCATAAGGTTTTGCTATTATTGGATTGAATACTGATGCTAGCTCTCTATTTAGTTTTTCTTTCCTAATTCTCCTACACTCACAAATAGATCCTCAGTTATATGAAAGCATAATCCCAACCAAAGCATAATCCTAATTGCACTGGGGAGTCCTACATTGAGTTTGCGAGTGAGTCCTAGTGGCCTTCGGGCCATTAGTCAGGGTGTTACAAAATATTACAGATTTGAGATAAGATTACACACTAGTCCCCCCCAAAAAAACTAATCTTAGCTATGTTAGCAGCAGCAGTCGGATGTTATGGACGTCTCCCCCCGGCCCCTGCCAGTTTATCTCCGGCTCTCACCACCTCGGCAAACTCACCGTCAGAGACGAAGTGGGCTCCGGGACAATCCTTTGCCACGCTCACGGTCGGTCAGTTCGATCCACAGCGTGCTCTCACAATGACAATTTCCTGATCACGGGCTGCGATGACGATTTTGCTCGGAAAAATTCAGTCGCTGCAGGACCGTATCGTGCAGAGACAGCCGTAGTAGGCCGCATCGAGTCGGTTCGTGACCCGAGCTTCCGTCCGACGGATTTGAAGTTCCTGCTCCTGCTCCGACGACATAATCGCTATCCGGGCGTGGGTGGGACGTCAGGAGCTTTGACAGGCGCCCCGACCGATTCGTTATCGGTCTCCGGCGCGGGCGGGCGAGACGATGTCGTAAAACTCTGGGACACCCGTGTCAGCTGAAAGATGTCACCGTGAAAGCTATAAAAAGAGCAAACACAATGGGAAAAAAAAATGCTAACAATTTATGCTATTTTAAGCGCTATTTTCCCGATGATCTAGATTTTGTTTTGGCTTTTGTATAGCTTGAGATGTTGAAATATTAATTTATATTAGTGCTTCTGTCCACGATCAATCTTCTCTTATCTACTTCTGAACTCTTCTACCTAACAATTGTAAACACTATAATTTAATCTATATAGACCAATATACGATGAGTACTGTGAGTAAAAATAAAATATATCAATGATAACAATGTTTTTCATATATATATTTATGAGATTTAATATGTTGCAACTAGTAAAGGAACATGAAGATTTTTTTTATCCTAGTCCGTTCATCATATCAAAAATTCCCATTCAGTTTCGCACCATTTATTCCTCTATACAAATGGGAGAACCCAAGAATCACTATTCATGCTATAGTAAATACTGCAGCACTATTCACTGTAGCGTCATTACTTTAACAATTAGGGATGAGATACTGTAGCATTTTTTTAAAATTTAAAAAACGCTGTAGCAGAGCGGGATACTGTACAATTCAAAAAATAGTGTAGCAATTAAAATCGGGATTACTGTAGCCGGAAAAAAAAGATATGCTATGCTTTGCACGGTGTTCACACTAGTAAGATATAAAATCACAAACAAAGGGTCTTCCAGAAATAGTCCCTTAAATCTTTATTAATGTGTAGAAATAGTTCCTCAGACCATTGAAACTGGGAATAGTCCCCCAGTTCTCAGATCTTGATGCTGCTGACCGGAGATATTAATTTAATACAACTTACAAGAATTAGGGGATCCAATATTAATTTCAATGATCCCAGTGACTAATTTTTGGAAAGGAATTATAAGAATTAGGGGATTTCATAGCAAACTCAATGATGTCAGGGACTAATTTTGAAATATTAAAGATTCGAGGTAACAATATCAGATCCAACGAACAAGTATCGGTCCAAACTAAGAAACCCCGCTGGGCCCAAAATGCGCCCACGGCAAACCGGCCCATTTAAAACCCTAATCCCAAATGGATCAAAACCCTATAAAAAAGATCGCATCTTTCTTCTTTCCTCTTGCCGCCGTCAGTCTCCTCTAGGGTTTCGAAGGTACACTCTCGCTGTTCCCAAACTTTCATCTGACCTTAAAATTTGATTCTAAGCTAGTTATTTATCGAACCCATTTTATGATTTTTTATATTTTTATCTACAATCTTCGTTCTATACTGCTCAGATCTAGATTCTTCCAATATCACGAATCCAGAAATTGAACTTTTTTGAATAATGGGTATGCCCAAATGGGTTAAAAAAAATACAAAATTTTTGTTCTTCTTTTATTTTGTTGGTGAATTAGGGATTTATTGTTAATGTTAGTGGATTTTAGGAGGGAATCTGTGCACAAGTACTAAGCTTTGAACTGTTTTTGATTGTTCTAGAGCTCTATTTTTCTTTGTGCAAGAGAGATTTGGGGATGCGCTTTGCAGTTCGAACTTTATCATGTTTTTGCTGCCTGTAATCACCCAACATTAACTTTAGCTGACATTTTTATACATATATTAGAACCTAATTTCACTAATATGTAAATATAAGTATCAATAAGTATGTGAAGAATGATTAGCCATAATAGACTGTAAGAAGAAATTTTCTAAACAAACCCATTCATAATTTTTTTTATAAAAATAGACCCCCTTGAGTTTTTTTTACAAAAATCGACCCATTTTGTCTTAATCCGGTTTCTAAATAGTCGGGCTTGCTAACCCCTACTATTTAGTGCATAGAACGTTAGGGTTTAGGGTTATAATTGAGGGTTTACATCCTCCTAAATAGTCGGGGTTGGTAACCCCGTCTATTTAGGAACCGGACCTATTTAGGAACCGGATTAAGATAAAATGAATCTATTTTTGTAAATAAAACTCAAGGGGTCTATTTTTAGAAAAAAAATATGAATGAGTTTATTTAGAAAATTTATTCTAGATTGTAATATTTTGTTTATTGTGCACGTTGCTAATCATATTGTTTTTGTTTAAGAAGGAGGTAAGTAGGATTTCCGCAGGCGAAGAAGATGGTTCTCAAGTATGTTTCCCTCTGACCCTTGTATAATGATCATTCTTTACACATAATCCCCCCCTGATTATAGATGTATACATTTTCCAAAGTCATGCCTTTTACGAGTCATTTTTAGGTATTTTATGTTTCATGACTAGGTTGGAATCAGAACTCTGATCGATAACTATATCGAATGCTTTGGTCGATATAGGGAATCGTTACAGATAGCTTCTTGTGTTTTCAGCACAATACTTTTCATTTTCTAATACACAACTAAACATTTGCTTTAAATTGCAGGACTGAGCTGTGTCGTTTCAGTGGTGCTAAGATATACCCGGGGAAGGGCATTAGATTTGTCCGAGCTGACTCCCAAGTAAACTTATTTGCTTTTCGGATTATTAGGTACTTTAATGGTTCACACATTATAATTTTGATATTGATCTGTCTATCCCCTTTAGGTCTTCCTGTTTTCAAACTCAAAATGCAAGCGCTACTTTCACAATCGCCTGAAGCCTGCCAAGCTTACCTGGACAGCAATGTACAGGAAGCAGCACAAAAAGGTATGTTCAGGATAATACTGCCTTAATTTGTTATGATATTAGTTTTAATGATTATAAAATTTGGATATCATGAAGTTGACGTCTTGTAGTAGTTGTTATGTTGTTTATAGTTGGATTTCTAGTGACTTCTTTTTGTCCTTTTGTTGTTTTTAGTTAATTCCTAGTCCAGTTTCAATTTTTCAATGACTTCACCTAGACGTTATTGCCTAGCATATGAACAATTTTTGCACTCCAAGGATCATAAATGGCATGCATAATTTTCATTCCGAATTATTCCATTGGAAGTTGTAATAACCTAGTTTTTCCCTGGCTAAGAGTGCACTTAAATTGGTTTTTTGATTGTTTTATTAGTAAAATTACAAATGATCATCTATTCATATGGAGCTCTTGTTTAGGCCTTATTGTATGTAAATTGGTCTAGGTAGGTTGTGTTTTATTATTATTTATTATCATGTGCCTGCTGAATCCAGATTGAAGTTAATTAACTTTTTAGGTAACTGGGACTAAGATTCCTTTTTCTTAATGGCTCAAGTTTTGCAATGTTTTGAAACTCTTGATTGCTAAAATATGCTGGTAAAGCCATTAAGTTAAAATGCTAGTTTAGTTTTTGTTTGAATGCTATTTAAGCGCTACTTGTTTTAGAGTTGATTTCTTCAAGATACGTTTTTTGTCAATGCTGTCATGTACGCTAGACGCATCTTTTAACACATGTTTGTCTTAGTGGTCTATTTGAAATTACAGTACAATTGCATCTTCTTGTGCTATACACAACATATTATGTTTCCTGCAAATATAACTGTGTCATCCTTGATGGTTTTGGATTCTTGTTCCAGGATATTAGTGCTGAAGCTGTCAAAAAGAGGCGCCGTACTACCAAGAAGCCATACTCAAGGTCGATTGTTGGCGCTACTCTTGAGGTGATTCAGAAGAGGAGAACTGAGAAGGCTGAGGTCCGTGATGCTGCCAGAGAAGCAGCTTTACGGTATGCTGCTTTCTTTGCTGATGGCTCTAATCTCTTATTTGACTCTAGTTCTAGTGTATTTTGTCATAACTTCCCTTCAGAATGACATCAAATTTACCCTGTCAGCTTCTCAACCTAGTTTCAACCATTTCTGATGGCTCTAATCTCTTATTTGCTCACAACTTTGTTTTTGCTACCGAGGTTTCTTCCTCTTCCAAGTTTTGTTGATTTGTTTGTTTATTATATTTTCTTGCGTTGTTTATTTCCTAGTGTGGCTTGTTTCACCTCTCATATCCTGTGCCTTAGTTTTTTTTTCTTACGTATAATAGAAGTCTTTTTAAGAGTTTCTCGAAGAAAGATCAAAACCATTTTAAAATTCTCTTCCTGAAGTACTAGGAACAAACATTATCTCTTAAAATCCTGACTTTCTTAAGGAGTTGCTTGTTTTCCCTATGTATAAACCAGTACTGTGCATTGCTCCCTTCAGGTGTTATGATTGTGTCATGCCAACTATTACTACAGTTGTCTCTTAAGGAGTTAAACTTGGATCATGCCAAGTATTTTTGATGCTACTATTAGAATGACAAGCCTAGTCCTTTTCTGTACTATTTTTCACTTGAATATGAAGATTGTACCGGAAATAGTATAATTGGCATTTCCTGATTAGAATCATCTCTTCTTGCGCAAAAATGACCAGAAACAGTAAACAAACGGTATTGTTGATGCTTTTGCAGTGAAATCAAGGAGCGAATCAAGAAGACAAAGGACGAGAAGAAAGCGAAGAAGGCTGAGCTTGTGGCTAAGACTCAGAAGACGCAATCCAAGGGTGCCAGCATGCCCAAGGGAGGCAAAGGCCCTAAACTTGGCGGCGGCGGTGGAAAGCGCTGAAGAGATTTGACCCATTTTCCTTCTTTTCATTTCTGCCATTTTGTAGTTCATTAACGCTTTTAAGTTCGATGGATCTCTTCTGCATTCGGAGAACATTTTCTAGTAATTTTGTTCAGTGTACTGTCATCATACTGTTTAATACTTGATTGTTTTGGTTGTTGAGGTGATTTAGTTGTGCTAAACTATGTTTTGTGGGAACAAGTTGCATTATGTTTTTCTGACGGTCTTTTCATTCCCCAGGTAGCTGTTGTTTTGCGTTACAGTTTGGTTTTTTTTTTCATTTTCATGTTTTGTTAAAATTCAGGTTGTGCTTGATCAAATCGACCAATTATAATGCTGAGGGGCTTATTCTTAAACCTGGATTGTTGGTCAACAGATCCCTCTGGTTGTATCGGTTGTTTTCTATCGGCTAATTATTTCATCTTTTTGTTAATTAATCAATACAGAGTTTCTGTCAGAATTTGATGCTTTCTCTGAATAAAAGCACAATATTTAAATTTGAAATAAATTAGATTGGCGCAAATATAAACTCTTAAAGTTGTCATTTTGTGATCTGACAATTAAGTCAGTATTCAAAGTTGAACCAACGATAAATCCATTGTATGTTTATAAATGAAGTTTTAAGTTTTGATAGTGTAAAGTTACTATTTGAGCCTCAAGCAAACGAATCCAAAACATATCTATTTCGTATGTTTGCATTTTTTCAAAACTATGAGTTGGGATATTTATTAAAAAAGTTCGATCCAAAAGTATAACCTTATAAATTACTGGTTGATGCTAAAATTTCTCGCTCATCTCTCTCTCTCTCTGATCCACACCCAACTAGGGGTGCAAACAGATTGAATACAATATTTACTATATTTGCACACATTCATATTTGCTGAAGTCTTATATGGATATAGATGTACATGTGTATTTGTGAATATACATGTGGATGCGAAATGAATATTAGAAACCAGATAAAATTATGAGAATTATAGTACATCCAATGCAAAAGAATTCAATAATATATTCATTATATGCGGAAAGTTAAGATTAGATCTCTTGATCATCAAATTTGATCTTAAACCCTACACTATAGGGAATACAGTTCCAAGTATTTTACTATATATATTGATACTCATATTTTATTGGATATAAATATTTAGAAACTACATCTATACATCGAAAAAGTTCATATGTCCTTATAGGATATGGATAAATTTGTAGATATAAATATTATTTTGAACCCTTATGGTGTGTTTGACAACTTACTTAAATTGGGTCACACTTGTTCCTTAAAAGCTGGTTTAGGAAAGAACTAGTTTAGTTGTGAACCAACTCTCCCTGATCCACAACTAAACCAATTTAGAGGCCCAAAAATGAACTAGAAGTAAACGGGTTCACTTAGGCTGTGTTTGGTTTGATGGAAAGGGAGAGAAAAGAAAAAGAAAGAGAAAGGAAAAAGAAAGGAAAGGAAAAAGAAAAGAAAATGATATTCTTTTTATTGTTTGGTTAGAAATAATATTGCAAGGAAAGTTAGAAGAAAATTCATAAGAAAGTCATTTTCTCTTGTTTGGTTACATTTCTGAGAAAAGAGGAAGAAAATTATCACAACATAATTTTAATTCATACTTTTTGAAATTAGATTCATATCATTTGATTCAAATGTTGAGTGGCCATCAACATTGAGTTTGTAAATATTAACAAGCAGAGGCACAGCCACAATTCCGCTAATTAAAGAACAACATTTCTCACACATAATATTTGCAGAAAGAAAGGTCAATGAAAGAACCAAAACAAATCTAAAGAAAATATCATGATATTCCTAATATAAAGTATAATCCATTTCTAGTCACAAAGTCTATTACAATCAATTTCATATAAAAAATCTTAACCAACAAAATCTATTACAATCAATTTCATATATAGAGAATATTAACTAAAGAGAGAGAGAAAAATATGCCGAATTCCTTAGTTTTTGACTTTAGTGAGCCCATCAAAACATCAATCTCGCATCCTTCATCCCCTGAAATTAATTCAAAAAAAATTCAAATAAGTAGAATATAAAGGTCCAATATAGTTATAACTTAGAATTTGCTACAAATTATATCTAACACTGTAAAAAGTAAAACATAAACGAAGATGTCAGCTCCAATATAGTTATAACTTAGAAGTAAACCAAAATATTAAAACATAAACGAAGATGTCAGCTCCAATATAGTTATAACTTAGAAGTAAACCAACATAACTCTCTATCACAATGAAGAAAGATTCCTACACTTCATAAAAGGACATGAACAGACCTTCCTCTGCATTGGAGGGACATGGGGAGGATTTTCGCTCACCCAAGTAAGTCATAACCTTCCCTCCACCATGAACATATCATTAAATGTTTAGGAATGTATTGTTGCATATTAAGATTTTCCTTTGGCAATTGTAAAGCTTCATATTTGGAGTAAAGAAGAAATAAGGAAATTTTTGAATAATTTAACTAATACAGTTATGCATTGAATCTGGAAGACATCTATGGCCATATCCAAAGATGAAACTGCCGTATGATTGTATTCCCCAGTATATTTGTTTTAACCTACCAAGTATATAGCTACTTGCTAGGTGTTCTGACTCTTCAAAGAAAACTAAATGGAGGATGTTCAGAAAATAAAATATGTGATTTAACAATACAGCATTCCTTGAAATGCCTGCCCCAAACGTAAATAAGTTAAGTTCAAGACAGAAAGTATTAGTCGCAACGTAGTACAAAATATGCTCCAATAACCATATTCAATGTAAAAAAGAACGACTACAAGCAATAAGAACCAAATATAAGTTCATCAAACTTGCCCAAGCCCATGCTTGACTCCCCACTTGAACTCCCCAACATACCAGCTCCCATCCTCGCACGTATGCACACCACACCCATAGCTCTGCCCATTACTCCACCCACCGGCATACACATCCCCCGTATAAAACCGATAGACACCAAAGCCATGTCTCAACCCCTGCCTATACTGCCCTCTATATCGACTCCCCCTCGCCCAGGTCTCCACCCTATACCCATCATACTTATCATCAACCCAATCCCCCTCATACCTCCCACTCATATAGTAATAATACACCCCGCTCCCTGAACACTTCCTTTTATGAAACTCTCCCTCATACACATCCCCATTGTTATAGACCTGTACCCAAGATCCTGTATTGGGTACATATTAGCATTGGCAATGGTTTGTTTTGATATTTACAAATAAAAGGGTATATATTAGCATTAGCAACTAAAATTTGGAGGGTTAGTTAATTTCTTTTCAGAATGTAACATTAAGCTCAAGGAGTTCCAGTCACAGATACATGCATACATGCACACTCACGTGCACGCATGCGTGCAAGCACACATGCACAAGTATGCATACATATATGCACAGGCATATACACACTCTAAAATAGAATTCCAACCCAATCATCTCACATTAATGAAATACTGAAGGTGTGGCTTCATGACAAGAGTTTAACTTTGCGACGGGATCGCCTCGCAGTGATAGCTAATGTTTCACTCTCAGTTTAAGATTACAAATCACAGTAGAAGGATTGATTGTTCTAGTGCAAAATGATATTCATTCACTGGTCAAAGGTGACAAACAAGAGACAACCAGTACATTTGACAAAGAATCAAAGGAAAATGCCCAAGTCATAGTATAAAATCACTGCTAAACTCCCTACTGATGGCTAGTTGATCTGGGCACCACCTCGAACAGACACTTGAGAATATTTTGCTCTTCCAGAAGGTTTTCATTGAACAGGATATTTCAAACTATGTGCTCTAATAAGGTAGATTATAAATTTATACTTCTATATATGTGGTTACAAGCTCTGAACTCACCTTCTTGTCGGCATAAACCAAGGAAATTGCAAATTCTAATAATGCGCAATTTTTTTGAGTTTCTCTTAGTTTTAACAATGAAAACAATTCCTTAAACTTATGAACTAGGTGGTAAAATGCAAACATGTAATTAGAGTGTAAATTAAATTACCTCCTGATACCGATATGTATTTTGGCCATGGACATTTTCCCCAACCATCAAAAGAGTTATATGGGCATCCTTTACAGGTTTGAATGATAAGCTTCATCTCAAATGCCTAAATTCTTGTTAAATTCAAATTAAAGCTAAAAATAAAATGGTCAGTCTCTTGAACTTCTCTACATCGGTACATACAAGAGAAGTAACTAGCCCTAACTCCAAACCATAGATGAATAAAAAAATCATAACTTTCTCAAGATTACCAAAGAAAAAAAATGAAGAGAAGTTGATCCAATTGATTTAGCGCTACCTCTGAGATCCCTCCGCCTCCATCCCCAAAAACCGCTGCCACCGCCGCCGACGAAGTCGAAACTGAAGAATCCGGCGCCTGCGACGGAGAACCCGAGCGTTTCTTGGTCCAGAGGATCACCAACCGACTCACTCTCTCGTCGAGGTCCGCCGTCTCCCGCGAGTTCGGAGCTCCAACCTTGTCAGCGTAGGCCTCCATTGATCGCTAGGGTTTGCTCGAACTAGGGTTTCCTTCGACTAGGGTTTGCTGGAGGGGGGGTGGGGGAGGGAGCGGATTGGGGAGGGGGGGATGGAGTCGACGAGATCGGGGATAGAGTCGGGAATTTTCAAAGAAGGCGTCGGGCGAGATTTTCTCTCCCTCTCTCTCATTTTCGCTCCGTTTGAGTCGGGAAAGGGGAAGAGAACTGAGAACATATGAGACTTTCTACGGTGATTTTAACATTCATTTTCTTTTTAATTTTCTTTCAAACCAAATCAGGTAAAGATACTTTCTATTGCATTTTCTTTTCCTTTTCTTTATTTTCCTCCAAACCAAACATAGCCTTATGGACTAGTTTTTATCAATCAACAAAACAATTTAAAAGTTGATCAGGTTCAAACTTAGCTCAGTTTTAGAGAGTTGTCAAATACATCTTTACAAACTGGTTGTTGGAACTGGTTCTTGGGATAACTAGTCAATTGTGAACCAGCTACCCCTTGCTTCACAACTAAACCGGTTTAAGGCCTCAAACAAAAAAAAAAAAACCTGGGACAGGTTTAGCCTAGTTTTTTGCAAATAAAAAAAACAAGCTTAAAATTGGACTAAGTTCAAACCTGGCCCAATTTTCATAAGATTGCCAAACAGGGCCTTAGGTGTTGTTTGGCAACAGGTTAAATGAGGGGTTAGGGATACTTAACCCCTTTTTAACCTGCCAAACACAAAAAATCTGTATAATAGTTAAAGTGAGCTAATCATTTTTAATTGGCCAAACACAAAATAATACAGAAGGGTTAAGCTAACCCTTCTAAAGCGATTAAAATGAGTTAAATCCTCAAAATGAGGAGTTTACTGATACTCCTATTTAGAAGGATTAAGAGTTATCCCCCTCTGTTTATAAAGAGAATAGTCAAAATCTTTGTTATTCCCGAACACTAAAAATAATCATAAAAGATAAAATAAAACTTATTGAATGTGTTACGATTTTTTAATCATTCAGGTTATCAAATGAGCTAACTACTTTAATCATTATCCTTAATCCCTCTTCTTTATCCCTTTTCCTAATGGAGCCTTAAGAAAGTGTTCAACAATTCTTCAAACTTCGGGTAGTTTTTTTTTTTTTTTTTTTTTTTTTTTTTTAAAATAATCATAAAAGATAAAATAAAACTTATTGAATGTGTTACGATTTTTTAATCATTCAGGTTATCAAATGAGCTAACTACTTTAATCATTATCCTTAATCCCTCTTCTTTATCCCTTTTCCTAATGGAGCCTTAAGAAAGTGTTCAACAATTCTTCAAACTTCGGGTAGTTTTTTTTTTTTTTTTTTTTGTATTTATCTAAAATAGTGCCAAACTTAGTCCAGGTTTTTTTAAGTCAAAATTTAAGTTCAAAACCGCTTCTTCTCCAAACCACCCCCTCACATCTGATCAACGTGACGGACCTACAAAAGCGGGTCGGATCCAAACAGAGTCCAACCTATCAAACCTCATCCCAATAACTCCCATAGCCTGCGCACGTTAGCACTCCCGCCGCTCCGATAAAAATTTAACCGGCGAAACTTCCCACAGTACAAAAAAAAACTCATCGCAGTAAAAAAAACCCCGATTCCTTCGGAGGAGAGAGAGAGAGCGAGAGCGAGAGAGTTTTAAAAGGGGCAAACAAACCCTAATTCGATGCCCCTCTCCTTCACTCTCCTCGGTCAAACCCCATGGCGCCAAACCCTAACCCTAATTAACCCCGCCCCAAACCCTAAACTAGCTTCTCTCCCCACAACTAGGGTTAGGGTTTTGGAATGGAAGGCGGCGGCGGCGGCGGCGATGTGGAGCTTTTCTGCAAGACTCTCCAATTCGAGCACAAGTTGTTCTACTTCGATCTAAAGGAAAACCCTAGGGGCCGATACCTGAAGATCTCCGAGAAGACGTCGGCGACGAGGTCCACGATAATTGTGCCCGTGAACGGGATCGTTTGGTTTCTTGATCTGTTCAATTACTACGTTAGTACTGATGAGCGTGATGCTTTTAGTAAGGAGCTGAAGCTTGATGCAAAGGTTGGTTCTTTTTGTTTGATTTTGGTCCTTTTGTTGTTTGGATTTATGGAATTGGATTGATTTTTGTTGGTTTTGATGGATTTAGGTGTTTTACTTTGATGTTGGCGAGAACAAAAGGGGGAGGTTCTTGAAGGTAACGGCTTTTCCTGTTTTGGTGATTACAGCAAGTAATAGTGGATGATATTGTTTTATTTGTTATTATTTTAATTTGAATAGTATTTGTTCTGTCCTCCTTTGGAATTTTTGGTGGTATTTTCATTTGATATCGTGCCGAACTGCGATGTTGGTTATGATTGTGAATGCTTTTGATTGAGTAGTAGTGGGGAAAATGGTGCTTATGTGAATATTTTGTCATATACGTGTGATATTAATGAGTGTTATGTTGTTGATAGTCAAGGTAATTCGATTAGAGAAAGCACTGTGGTGGGCTTTATTGGGCCTTGTTCTATTGCTGGGATGGTTTTGAGCTAATTATTCTGTGATGTTCTGAAATTGCAACAGTTGATATGATTACGAATTACCCAATGCTTCTTAATATCACACATACAGTCTTTAGTATTGCTGAGATGGTTTTGAGCTTTTGGTCTGATGTATCAAAATTGTACAACTTGATATGATTCACATGAGCAAAAGTTGTGTTGATTAAAAAATCGCAATGCTAGATGAACCAGATTTCTAATTTTAGCACTGGTTTGTAGCTGTTAAACTGATTTTATGTTGAACCAGGTTTATTATGCAAGAATAAATATCGAATAATAGATGCTGAAATGAAATCCTTTGGAGTTGTATGATCAGATGCATATTTTGACTGCTATTGTTCTTTCTATTCTTGTTCAGCCTTCCTCTGTGTTGGGTTTAACATCTTGAGCTGGTTTTCTGTTAACTGCTATCCAACTGAAATCATAATGTTTCTTTTTTCCATTGATAAATATTGTGAGTTCAACCTGGTTATTTGCACTTGTGGTTTTGTATTCTCATATGATGCATTTTATTGATTAGTGCTGTGGATGGTTTGTTTTTCTTTTTGTTATTGTTGCCAACAATAGTAAAATTTTCCCCCTGTTTCCAGGATTTCTGCCACGATTTTTTCTTTACTCTCATAACTCTTCTTGCCTTGTTTTATTATTATTATTTAAAATGCCAAAAGGTTGCTACCTGTAGTAATGTTTTGATTGAGGTTTCTTGATGGATATATTATTACCAGAATGCATATATGATTGGAGTTTTTTTTGAACTGTTTTGAATGGTTTATCAATGCACGAATGAACAGAATACAAGAGCTATGCCTTTATTGTGTGCTTGTTTAGTTCGTTAAGGTGCTTTAATCTTAGTATAATTTGAGTCTTTGATGGAGCCCACTTATGTCAATGTCATATATTCTGTTAACTATGTACTTACAAAGATTGATGTTGATTCTTAAGAAGGCAGTTGAGAGGTTCTTGTAGCAAGCTGAATTAATTTCTTAGAGTTATAAAATGGGGTTTCCCCCATAGAAACCACCTTTAAAATAGGGGGCTTCTATAGAAACTACCTTTGATTTTCAATTTATACATAAACCATCTTTATAGGGTTTTTTGTGGCAATCAACCGCCTAGACCCACTTTGTCACTTAATTTTTTTTTCCAGCAGTTGATCTCACTAACCTCCATTAAGGATCATTTCTCAGATATACTTGGTATTTGACAACTAATTATTATAGCAAAAGTGAAAAAACCTGACTTAAAAGTGAGTCCTATTGGTTGATTGCAACAAAAAACCGTTTAGAGGTGGTTAATGTATAAATTGACAATCAATGTGTTTTCTGTCGAATGACCGTATTTAAATGTGGTTTCTAGGAAAAAACCCTATAAACTGTGGTGGCTTGTTTTTCTCAATTATTGGCGTAGTTAGCTTTTTCACTAGTTGTTAAAATGGTGTTGACCCTTGTTCTCTAACCAAGGGTCTACATTTGCGTGCCAGGTTATTTGGAAGTTTTAGTAATTTATATGAAAGGTTTTACAGAATACATTAAATATGTTTTGGATGAAAATTGTACTCAAACTGACTCATTTTTTTCTAAGCAAAGTTGACGTTGATTTGACTTTGTAGCCATGGTAAGCTATAACTCATAGAATATCATATTGAAGTTGTTGTGCAGGCACTTGGGTTTCGCACTATTCAAATTTGGATTGATTGTGATGAGTAAATTCTCTGTCTTTCATTTGGTTTCATGGACTAGCTTCTTCCCTTTGACCGGTAGATGCTGCACAGGAATTTCTAATATCAGTATAGTGATGCAACATGCGACTGTAGTTTGCTGGGCTCTTGGCTTAGTAATTTATTTCTGCAACTGTAGTTTCCAAGTGGACAAATGGTGCAATACCACATTACTTCTTCAATCTATTGTATCCTTGGTCTCATACTGCTCTGTTATGAAGAAGGATCTGATACTTGTCTAGTACTTCTCAGTCATGAAGGATCATATACTGCTGTCATTTTTGTGGATTGTTTATTATGATTGGTCTGCTTTTCAGATTGAGATCTTTAGCGTTAGTGGAATCCTCCAAATACTGCCATTCAATTCTACTTCATTATGAGGTTACCCTCGGATAGAAGAACCTTAAGTTTCTTCTTCTTCTTCTTTTTCCGATGAAGAGTTAATTATAATCAATATCTGCATTAAAATCTGAATTTTTTAGTAAATCTGTACTGTATAGAGAACCATCTGTAATAGAATTCTGACATTATCATTTATAAATTGCTCTGCGATTTGTGCATGATAGTCTTCTAACCCTCTTCTTAGTCAATTATTTGAATTTTCTATGGTTTAGTTTATACTTTCCCATTTACCTTTTCAAGTTAATACAGCATCTGAGGTAACTTGTGCAATTGTTTGCAGACTTGGTTTGACTCTTGACTTCGAAAGGCTTTCTAGAGCTAAACTTAAATGAGCATAAATTAGATATTCTGAAGTTAACAAAGAATTGATGCACACGGTCATTTAATAGGTCTCTGAAGCATCTGTAAGCAGAAACCGGAGCACAATTATCATTCCTGCAGGAAGCTCTGGTGAAGAGGGATGGGCCGCATTCAGGGATATATTGCTCGAGATCAATAATGAAGCTTCAAGGCTTTTCCTTGGGTCCAATCAGGTACTTTACTTGGAATACTTTGTTTAATATTTTAGTTCCCTTACTATTTCCAATAGCTCATGCCTCGATTCATCTTATCATGAATACAGCAACATATGGAACCTTCAGAACAGCTTGCGGGACTTTCAGATGATGTGGGAGCTGGATTTATATCAGGCCACAGTTCCCAGCAACCCTCCGGGTCAGACCTTAACGTAGATAGGCTAGTTGAACTCCCCCCACATGAGGAAATGGCGAACTTGGGTCTGTCAAAAGTTATCAGAGCAGATCAAAAAAGGTTCTTCTTTGATTTGGGAAGCAATAACAGGGGCCATTTTCTTAAGATATCCGAGGTAACACATATAACTAAAAGAGATGGAATAGTACATTAAGGGCAAATCACAAGAAACTTACATCTATCTATACCTTGTTTTTTCATGAAGCCTCATCTAAAAATATTCAAGGAAAAACCATCAGCTAGGATAGAATAATGAAACCATTAGTCTTATAATGGAGTTTGGTCTTTTATGTCTGGCCGGTCTGGGTAGTGGGTAGGCATCTTCATGAGGAATTCTATGTTCATGAGAAAAATATGTACCTGAGAGCACTAATTTACTTGTCTATTTCCTTAGTTTCAACTCCCAAAAAGTGAGAATATTTAAGTGTAGAAGTTCGTTCGGTCATCTATCCAAGTGCAAGATGTCTACGTGAATGTCTGAAAAAGAAAACCCATGTTATGAAATTAATGGTTTTAGATGATCATAAGTGAGGGATTTTTGCTGAACTTTTGAGATGGTGTTTTCTTTTTTTCTTTTTCTTTTTTTAATTTGTGTTTGTGCGCGCGCGCGTGTGGGAAAAAGAAGGTATAGATGAAAGAGATTTCTTGTAATTTACCCTAAAAAACTCTTTCAACATGGAAAAGTCCTTAGCTAATTTCTCTAATGCAGGTTGCTGGGGCAGACCGCTCATCAATTATCCTACCCTTGTCCGGATTGAAGCAGTTCCACGAAATGGTCGGTCACTTTGTGGAGATAACCAAAGACAAGCTTGATGGGATGACTGGCGCAAATGTGAGGACTTTGGAGCCCTTACCTAGATGATATGTCGACAGCTCGGGGAAAGGCATGTTGGTGGTTTGATGCTGTTTGCTTTAAGTTAGCTGTCTATTTTTACATTGACCTGGGAACTCAGGAGTGCATTTGTTTAGTTGGTGTGGTTTTTCATTAAAGTTTTATTTTTAATGATTGTAGAAATAATCTCTGATTCTCTTTAGAGAGTAGAGAGTCTCTTGAGTGTTGTTTGGGTGAGGTTTTGTTTGGAGTGTAGCAATAAGGGGGGACACCGTTCGGTACATTCTGTAATATGTTAATTTGGTGGTATAGGAGCAAGTGAGACATTGCAACCTGAATTTACTAATTCTTCCGTGAGGTTTTCGAAATTATATGAAGAACGGGTGGTTCATCTTGCGCAGGGTGAGTCTACGAGTGACGGCCTGAAGAAATACATGCGAGAGATGCATATTGTTGTATGAGACTACCGAGGATATAGCAACAGGAAAGGGATGTGTCAGGAAATTATATGGGTAAAATCTTTGGACCTATTTTGCCCACTGAATGTTTTGTGTTTTTCTGAACTTGATTTGGCAAGCATGCTTTCGAGGCGTACTGCTTGAGAGCTAGAATAGGGATATGCGAATCAGATATGACATTTATTATATCCTGTTCAAAAAAATGCATCGAGCATCCTTACAAGTTGGATATAGATAAAAAAAATGAATAAGAGGAAAAACGTATGTATCCACATATTGGATATAAGATAATGCGATCATCGTACTTTTGTGTGATTTCTCATTAAATATATCTTGATTCATAGATGATTAGAAAAAAATAGAAATGACATCGGTATCCGTATGTAATTGGATATGGACAAATATATACAAACTTATCCACATCTTTTTGCATGCAAATATAGGCTGAAGAAATTTTTGTTATAAACCCGTTCACAATTTTTTTAAAAAAATCGACCCTATTGTTCGAAAACCGACCCACTTTGTGGCCACGTTAGCATCGTGGCCACAAAGTGCGTCGGTTTTTTTAAACGCCTTGCTAAATAGTCGGGGTTGCCAACCCCGACTATTTTAGGCGTCCTTGTGAATTTACAAGCTAAATTAGTCGGGATTCAAAACCCCGACTAATTTAATCAAATCTTTTTTTCTCCTCTAAGACGTGAGCCACATGCTTCTTAGCTGAAGTGGGATTCGTCCTCTTGCGCTGACGTCTTGAATGAATCCACATGCTGCTCCTTAGCTAAAGTGGGATTCTTCCTCGAATGAATTCACTATTCTCGAGTGTGAATTTACAAGATAAAGTGGGATTTTCCCTCTTGCATTACAGCCAATTCAACAACTAGTGGCCGTGTTGTTGCTGTCGAATTAAAAAAATACCAAAATGAATGTGAAAGCCACCAGACTCGCCCTTTCCTCCCCAGCCAATTGTTTTGCTAGCCGTCGAATTGATCGGGGTTCCTAACCCCGACCAATTTTAATGTGTGATTAAATTAGTTGGGGTTTAAATTTGTCGGGGTTTCGAACCCCAACTAATTTGACTTCTAAACACATGCAGCCTCCTAAATAGTCGAGGTTGCTAACCCCGACTATTTAGGAACGGGATTAAAAAAAACCGACGCACTTTGTGGCCACGATGCTGACGTGGCCACAAAATGGATTGGTTTTTGTAATAAAATCTCAACAGAGTTGATTTTTTTTTTTTAAATGTGAATGAGTTTATAACAAAATTTTGTTCAATATAGGCTAGAAATATGTGAAATAATATCATATTCTATCAGACGTCTATGGTTGTTATTGACGCAGTCCACATGAGACAGAACCTGCAGACGCTCCTCACGTGCCTGGCTTGATTCGGTTCCTTTTTCTCCCGTGCCCCAGGATTTGCGTTTGGATTCTAAAAAGATTCTCTCCCCTCTGCTCATAAAGATTCTCCTACTCCTCTCCGACCTCTACACCCTCTTCACCAAATCGCAACCCCAACTCCACAGAGAGAGAGAGAGAGAGAGAGAGAGAGAGAGAAACCCATCTCCCTCCCAAAAATGCTTAATCTCTCTCATTGGCTCAAACCGCCCATCCCCTCTCTCCACCTTCACCAAAGAACCCAACTCCTTCCTCAATCTCAATCTCCTTTCCTCTCTTCGAACCCCCTCAAAAACCCAAAACCCATCACCAAGACCCCCCTCTCCCTTTCCCTCTCCAACCCCTCAATCCCCAAAGCCACCAGCAACCCTCAGAACCCCGCAAAGCCCTCGCTTGGTCCTCAAAACCCCACCAAGAAGAGCTTCTGGGCC